AGAGCCCGGAGACCCGAAAGCTGTCCTCCGACCTCCATGTGAGTACTGTGACACAGGAATGTTCACTGTCTCACTCACGAGTAATTTAAAAAACAAACCAAACTTGCTGGGCTGGGGTATGGCTCAGCCAGTAGTGTGCTTGTCTAATGTGTTCAAGGCCCCGGGTTTGACTGAGTAAACCCGGTGTGATTGCACTGTAGTTAGGGACATCAAGAACCCACGGTCAGGTCATCCTTGATCTGAGGTCAGTCATGTGACACCCTGTCTCAAAAAGCAAACAAAGATCCCAAACTTTCTGCTCATTTGAATAGCATCTTTCACAGTTCTCAAGTGGACCTGGAAGAGGCTCTATGAAGAAGCTGTCTGTAGCTGGAAATATTGACACAGCCATGAGAGCAGTCTTGGGGACTTGGGGTCCCCAGTATACATACCAGAGTCATGTGTTCTATACAGGATGCCAGTAAATGTCTCATTTTTTTTCCTTTGGGCCACATGGTGGGCTGTCACTCAGAGCCACAGATAGTGGCGCCTGAAAGAAGCCTCAGTCTGGGCTCAATAAAACTTTATTTGCAAGTCCAGGCAGAGGGCCGGCTTAGCATCCACACAGTAGTTTGCCAACCCCAATCTGGAGAAAAGCAAGAGTGTCCGAAGGCTGCTTGATGACTGGATTCTTTGGTGGCTGCGGTGTCCCAAAATAGCACAAATTGTAGGAAGGAACTAGCCCCTGGAGCTTGAAAGGGCGGATGTTTACTTACAGCGGGTGGGAGTGGATTCTAACACCCTTCAGATGCACAAGTGGCCTGGAGATCTGACAGTTTGCACCCATCTTTGAGGGACTGTGGTGAATAGTCCTGTACTGCACATCACTGGGGGCCACTTGTGAACCTCCTCAAATCCTTTGTAGAATTGTCCCTGTCACTCCTTGGTGGGTATGACTGTAGACTGAGGGCCCAGAGGAACTGGAGCCAGGGGAGGGGTCAGGGATGGGGCACTTGGGACAGTGAAACCCTGTAGATTAGGATGATGCCTACAGAGAGGGACAGAGGACGTGCAGCCTGGAAACTCCGCTTCCCCTGCATCTGTGCAGCTGTTCAGTATGGCTTTCATCTGGCTCCCTTAAGTGGGCGCCTTTTATGTCGAGGAGGTTGAGAACCCTGTCTGGGATCCAGGAAGCTGGCCCATGCTGGGTCTGCGCCTGCTGCAGTGAGAGGAGGCTGGTGCAGAGCCAGTGAGCCTCCAGCTGAGTCTGAGTGACAGAACCCACTAGGGTCCTGGACGCTACCTCTCAGGTCGGAGGCTAGAGGCAGGAGGGGCTGGCTCAGGGGCGTGGTCCTGGCTGGAGAGGTGCTAAAAGAGATGGTGCAGGGGGAGCATAGACTCTATGATATCAAATGTCCAGTAAGGGCTGACACACAGGGGGATGAAAGTCTAATGTTGCTAGAGTCTAGGACGGGGCACTGGCGGAGCCATGGCTTGCAGGAGTGCGGCTCTAACAGTTCCTACTTAGGATGAACTTGTGGTTCCTCAGGTGCTCCAGGGTGCAGGAGCTGTGTGCTTGCAGAAGCTGTGCTTCACATTTTGAATTCTGCTCTGTTCCTTGACTGGTGGCATGTGGACCGTACCCTCTCCCACCAGTTTCCACAGACCACAGGACCCAGCCAGTGTGGGTCTCGAGAGGAACCAAGCGCAGTCCGTAAGATAAGCCTGCGTTCAATACTCAAGAGCTGGTCAGTATTTGACATGCAACAAGCTCATGAGGCGAGGACCAGGGAAGCTCGGCTGTGATGTTCGGTGGTATTTTAGTGCCCCTCCCCAAACTAGGCTTGTCTCAAATTCACAATTTCCCTGTCTCAGTCTCCCACGAGCTGGGATGACAGGTGTGTGCCACTGCACCTGGTGTGTGTGTGTGTGTGTGCCTGTGTGTGCCTGTGTGTGCGCGCGCACACACCTTGAAGCGCTGAGTCTGAAACACAGGGCCTCTCCCTTGCTAGGTGCCCTACCACTGTCTGTATCCCTAGCCCTGCCTGTCCTCTTGAATGTCTACTGTCGTGTCCTCAGCCCCTGCCCTGGAGTAGATGCTTGCTGCCTGCATAGGGATGGGTGACATGAGGCTGCCTTTGTGGGGACCAAGGAAAGAATGGGTATTCTCCAGTGACATCTGATCCAATGACTGTATCCGGGCCATCTGGGTTCTACGGTGGACAGATTTGTTTGCCTCTTCTTGCAGTGACTAGTTTGCTCAGGGTGGCTTTGCAGACTTGGGGGTGGAGGCCATGTTGTAGAAGATGATGAAAAGGTGTGAGTCCTAGCCCATGTCCCTTGCCAGATGGTGGCATTCTCAGGACTCGGGCACTGAGACAGCACAGCAAATGGCTGATGAGCATCCAGATACACTTGAAGGTGGCGTGAGGCAGCACAGCCGCAGCTGCGGTGTTGAAGCAAGGACCCGAGTCTGTGAGCTGAACCTCTATGTTCTGGTTTTCAATGGAAAGCTCCCATAGCCCCAGTTCAAGCCACAGAGTGCTGGACTCTGCAGGGAGGGTTCCACGGACCTGCCCAAGAGCGCTTTCCGGTGACCTTTGTCTCATTTCCTTTCCTGGGTTGTTGCTAGATGATTCCTCCAACCAGCAGGAAGTGGGAATGTGAAGTTGGCCAGTGGATACAGAGAGACCAAAGCCTATGTTCCCAGGTTCAGCTAGAACTGAGGGCCCGCTAGGTTGCCACTGCTCCATCTATGCTTGGGACGGACTTGATTCCTATTCTCCTGGTGCAGCCAGCCTCCCGACTCCCAGAGGATCTCTGCCTGCATCCCATGATTTCAGTGATCATGTATGAACCAGGGACTGGGAGAGAGAGCCCTTACTTAGCATGAATAAGACCCTGAGTTCAATTCTGTGAAAACAGTTAATACACACACACACACACACACACACACACACAGACTTGTTCAGATTCAGTTTCCTTCCTTTTCCTAAGTGCCTCTTAGCTACCTGGTTTTACTCGTAGTGTGTCAATTCCACACATATACACAGTGAGTGAGGCCACCCGAGGAATAAATAGCAGCTGTTCAGTGCGAGTGGGCTTCTGCTGTGTTCTGGAAGAGACTGCCATCTCAAATTGGGCATAGCATATGCAATGCATTCGAAGCTGGTTTTAAAAGTGTCTAAATGGGCCCCTTGCCATTTACAGCAGGTTCAGTGAGAAGCAGAGAATCCTGGGATTCTAAGGTTAGGTGTGATTATTTAGGTGATCCTACCATGGTATCAGAGCTTCTTTGGCTCATGGGTCTCTTCAGCAAGTCACTGATTCCTTTGTGTGAGTCTATATGTGAACTGGAGAGTATGAACTAACATACTTTCTGCTTTCACCCATATCCTCCGTGGCATCTGCGTCAGGCCTCTGGGGCAGGCTTAGGGATACTCCCAGTGGCTGACATTTGTGCACCATTGGCTGTCCTGGTGACATTGTCCCTGTTAAAACCTTGAAGAGGTACATCTGTCCTCGTGTGCATTGTCATGCTGGCACAGCTATGACTGTGGCCATTATAGGTGGATGGCCACCCAAGGGAGGGCCCCCAAGGGTCACCCAGTCTCACAGTGGGACTACTGATTAGTTGGTGAATGTTCAGGTGAGCACTGTGACTCCGAGTCCTCAACTGCTGCAGGAACCCAGGTTGGGACTTAGCCATCCTCTTAGAATAGTGGGGATCAGGGTCAGAAGAATATGTCCTTTCATTTATCCAATGACTATCCACTACGTGCTGTTGTGTGACCAGCCATTGTGCAGGGGATGGGGTGCCCTGTGAGCTTGCTACTGAATGTAGAGCCAGGATCATGTCCTAGTCAGTGAGACTCCCTGCAGCAAGTCCCATGGACTTCCCTGTTGTCTGTGATGCTCTGTAGGCACGCATGTGGAGCCAGACGTGTCTGAACTGTGGCCCAAGGTGTGCATCTGTGTGTGAGTAAGAGGCATAGCCCAAAGATAAAGCCCAACATGTGCAAAGGCCCCGAAGAGGCTTGAGAGCTTCCAAGGGCTTCAGTGTGTAGATGTGATGAATAGGAGAGAGTGACAGTCAGCCGAAATCTTTTTGTCTGGTCTGGTTTAGAGAAAGGCTTCATGTAGCCTGGCTTGTCTTTTCTGATCCTTTTGTTTCCACCTCCCAATGCATGTGCCACCGTGAATGGCTGCAGACACCTAAGGGCTCAGCAGCTGCCTCTTGCAGGTTGAGAACACCAGTCACAAGGCACCAGTCTCTGGGCAGTGAAATCCCTCCCCTGTTCATTGGCTCCCCATCCCATTATAAACTACTGCTTTCTGTGAGCCGTGTTACAACTGCTTGTGTGTGCATGAATGTGTCAGTGTGCGTGCACACGTGCGTGCACGTGTGTGTGTGTGTAGGGGTGTAGGAGTACATGTGTGAGTATGTGTGTTCATTAGTGGGTATGTGTGCATGGGTATGTGTCCATGTATGAGTGTGTGTTCATGCATGTGTGTGTGCATGACTGTGTCAGGGTGTGGGTGCGGGTGTGGGGGTATATGAGTACAAGTATATGAGTTCATTAGTGTGTGTGCATGGATGTATGTATGGGTATGTGTTCATGCATGAGTGTGTATTCATGCATGTGTGTGTGCATGACTGTCAGTAAGTGTGTGGGAGGGTGGGTATATGAATACAAGTAGATGTGTTCATGCGTGAGTGTGTGTTCATGAGTATGTGTGCATGAGTGTGTCACATACAAAACCATGAATTCCAAGGTTGGGGGTCTCTAGTTCATATCTGTGCACACAGTAGGTACTCCGTAAATATGTGTCTGGGGAGAGAGAAGGGGAGGCATTTACTGAGCACCTGCGTGGACCCTGTGCGCTGTGCATGATTATAGAAAGGAGTGCGAGTCTGAGAGTGGAGGAGACGCCAGCGGATGCAGTTGGAACCCGAAAGCGTTTGCACCGTCTGTGCGGAAGGAACTCCGGAACCAAGCTGTCTTTCTGTGTCTCCCCAGCCCTGCAGAGACAGCCTGTGGGCACAGCCTTCTTCTCCTTGCCGCTTCTGCCATGGGCGTGAGTGGACGGCCCATTCACCATGAACTGTGACCCTGCTGGCATTGCCAGGTGGCCCTGTGTCCCTCGCCCAGGACCTGACAGCCTGGGTAAGTGGGTGCTGAGCTGGGGGCTGGGTGTTGGGAAGATGAGGTTGCTGGGGAATTTTCTGTCTGTCCTTTGTGCACTGTCAGTGTCCCATGTCCTGGCTGGGTGTGAGTTGTAGAATGGAGCTTTGAGAGCCCACCACGACTCTGAAGTGAGCATCCCTGGTTTGGGGTGGGAATGAGACTTTAGGGCACGCCTGGGGATTGTTCAGATTGAAAATGGCAAGGCTCTTAGGTCTCCCCAATCTCCATTCTGCTCCCAGCTGAGTGGAGAGACTATTCTCAGTGGAATCTGTTAGTCCATGGGGTGTGTAATGAAGAGAAAAAAATGCCAAAATCTGCCTTCATTCCCTGCAGTAAAGGAGCCATACAGGGCTGGGAGGTCCTTGGTTAATCAGGACAGTGTCTCCCTTCTGATCACCTGGAGGGGCTGGGCCATCTCTGGGGCAGTTAGGAAGGGCCAGCTGTCATAGCTGAAGCAGGGTGGGTGAAGAGCAGGGGGACTCACAGGATGCTTTTTAGGATTAGAGAGAAATGAAAAGCTATATTTTACAGAGGCAGGGCTGAAACTCAGCCATGTGGCTCTCCCCTGTAATCACAGCACCTGGTGGGTGTAGGCAGGACACTGGGGAGCTCAGGGTCATTCTTGGCTAGGTAGGGAATTCGAGGTCAGCCAAACAACAACAAAAAAGACCAGGCATAATGGGCCAGGATGGGAGGCCTGCTTCTAGCCAAGTAAAACCAGTTGGGGACTTTTCTGGGCCCATTTTCTTCCCCATCTCTGAGTTGCTGGAGGATTGAGGGGGCCTGGAGCAGGGGTGCCTGTCTGAGGGCAGATCTCAAAGCTGAGCAAGTCAGGCCAGGATGCTCCTGGGAAGTGAGACCTGCCTGCAGGGCAGACGGGGTACATGGAGAGAGTACCAGAGGTACTTGGCATAGCTAGGCCTCTCACAATAAGCCCTCATTCCAGTCACAACTCTTAAGGGGCTGGGCCTGGCTCAGCATGGAGAATGTGCAGCAAGCATGAAGCCCTGGGTTCCATTCTCACCACTGTAAAACCAAAAACCAAAACAAACAAGGAAGCCGGTATGAACAGTTGTTCAACAGCAAAACCAACAGCAAATTGATAGCAGTAGGTCGAGTGAAAACAAAGCAAAACAAACGAAATCCCCCAAGGACTTGGCTTTTACTAGTGCTCAGGGAGTGGGGGAGGGGCAGCTGGCGGGGTCCCAGGGCCCCTCACTATCAGGGGTTCCAGGGCCTCCTGCTTTAGGTGGCTGTATGAGTCGGGGGTGGTTACTTACCCTCTCTGTGTTGGGTGATCACGCTGGGTTTGCTGGAGCTGACCTCCAGACTGGCTGAGCCAGGCAAGGCCTCAGACCACAGGGCTTTGCCTGACCTCTCTGAACACGAGGTCACTGTCTGTGCCTTTCCAGGGCCCGGCGGGATGGCTGTGCATCTGGAGCTTGCTCAGTGAGATCAGGATCTGGGGCTCTGGGGCTAAGGTCTCTCAGTCTCGTTCTCCCAGATCCTCACTCTGAGTCCTACAAATACTCTTTGCTAAATTTACTGTTTAATTTTTTTTTAAGCAGTTGCTTCCTCATTTCTGGTGTGCTTAATCCTCATGGAGCTACATCCGTAACCATGGTGACGCGGGTCGAAGTTGGCTCTATCGCATCCCTGAGGGCGGGGCCGGGCCTTGGTGACATCAGCAGGGAGGAAGCCCTGAAGAGAACCTACTTTTGCCAGACTGGGGACGCCCCTGGGGCTCCCTCCACTAGGCTCCTAAGAGCAAAAAGCCCCCTACGGAACCACCTGTTCCCTCTGCCCATTGCTCCCAAGCCTTTTCTTAAGGAGCAGGTCCTTGAGAAGAAGGCTCCTGTCACACCTTTGTGGCCTGGAGCCACTCAGTCCTGTCCTTCAGCTGAGGCCAACAAGAAGGAAGCTAAAGAGGACGTGGCTAGAAGGATGCCAAGCTTAGCCGGCCAGGAGGCAGACAGTGGGGAGACCCTGCAGAATGGCCCATCTGTACCTAACAAGGCCATGTTCCTGAGGTCTGGCCCCAGCAGCATGGGCCTCTTTGAAACGACCAAAGCTGGACCCAGCCTGGGCAAAGGAACCAGTGAGGGGAGCCAGGAGGCTAGCTCCCGGGCAGCCCAGGTATCTCCCTTAAGTGCCAGGCCTGAGGTGGCCGCCAAGCCTGCCCTCCCTGCTCGAAAGCCCCCAGTGACTCTGCCCCGACCAACCTCCCTGTTCCGGGATGCTGGGTCCGCTGTATCCCAGGAGGAGGCAGGCCGAGCCCAACCTTTGCCAAAGGCCCACAGTGTGGAGGACCCCGCTGGACAGGCTCCAGAGGCCAAGCCTCACCCAAAGAGACGGCCCATGTCAGCAGTGTTCAGCGACTACCTGCAGCCCCCCAAACCAGGCTCAGGTGGAGTGGCAGTCATGAGCAAAGTTCCCCCTACACCTCCCGAGAAGACATGGATGAGGAAACCCAGGCCTCTGTCTGTGGACCTGACAGCTGTGTTTGAGAGCAGAGAGACGTTGCCGAGAAAGGTGGCCAGTGAGCAGAGTGCAACAGAGCCCCAGGGCCCGGAGAGGACCAGCATGGAAACCAGGGCTGATGTAGAGGGCCCTGCCCGCATGGGCGCCACCCCTCAGGACCCAGATTCAGACTTCCAGGAGGTGGCCAAGAGGCTCCACGCACGGAGGGAGAAGGTCCTTCGTAAGCAGACAGATGCAGACAGTCCCAGGACTGCCAGGGCCAGGGCCATCTCTGGAGACCATCAGAGTCCCCAGGTTGAGGAAAAGCCAGACCAGGAGTCAGAGAAGGTGCTGGAGTCCCCTTTGCCCAGGCCAGGAAGAGGCCTGGGGCTGGCCCAGGTCAAGGGTGGAGTGTCTGACCAGGAGGCTCCTGCAGGGATGGAGAGGAAGTCTGCTGGGAGCATCAGGAAGTGCCTCAGCCTGTTTGAGGAAGGCAGCACTGTGTCTGAGCCCTCCCCCGTGGCCCCCGAGTCCCTGCCCTCAACGCCAGAGCCTGAGAGATGTGGCCCGAATGTTCAGGCTCGGATCAAAGGCTGGACTGTGGAGAGCACAGGGGCGAAGCCAGAGGTCAGGAGAAGGGCGTCACAGGGGCGGCTGTTGCCTGAGGATTTGACCAAACCGTAAGTGGACACATTCCAGAACCTCAGTCAGCCTCAGGCTGTTTCAATACCCACTGGCGAGCCCAAGGCTAGTCCAATAACTATACACAAGCCCAAGGCTAGCCCAACACCCACATACATACCACAGGGGGAGGTGACAGTAACGATTGCTCTCATACAGGCACCATGATAAGAAGATCAGGACATCCCTAGCGCTGGGCTCAGTTGGTACTCACCGTGGGAGCACAGTGGGAAACGAGGTTCCCATTTCACAGGTGTGGGTGAGAAGGCGAGGCACTGTGGAGAAGCCGGATCAGTTCCAGCACAGTCTGGTTCTGTGGCTAAGCTGTCCCCAGGGTCAGACTGCCTTTAGATTAGAGCATGGATGGCATGTGCCTCAGTGACAGAGTACCCACTCAGCATATACAAAGTTCTGGGTTTTGTCCCCAGCATCTCTCTCTCTCTGTCTGTGTGTGTGTGTGCCTGTCTCTCTGTTTCTGTCTCTGTCTCTCTTTCTCTCTCTCACTGTCTCTCTCTCTCTCTGTCTGTCTTTCTCTCTCTCTCACCCCCCCCGTCTCACTGGTTTATATGTTGGGAGATTTTTGGAAGACATATTCACAAGCTCGCTCTCTATGTCTCTCTCACACACTCTTCATCTCTCTCTCTCTCTCTCTCTCTCTCACACACACACACAGAATAGGCCTCAGCATCCATGGATATATTGAAAAATAAAACCAACAGAGCCTAGATGACCAGGGCCACTGTCTAAAGTAGCCTAGGCTGCCTCAAATTCTCTAGGTAGCTTAGGGTAACCTTGAACTCCATGTCCTGATTCTGCCTCCATAGAGCTGTGATTAGAACCAAAATGCCACCAGGATCTTCCATCAGATACTGAGAGAAAAACCCTGAAAGGATGTGGGCAGTGTCCTCACGGAGAGCCCTCAGCCTGGGAGCCCTCGGTGCACAGAGTCATCAGCTGAGGTCAATGCCAACACTTAGTGTGCCATACAACGCCTCCTTGTTGTTTTCCACTGTGGCCGAGGCAGGGAAATGTCACCAGGTGTGATCCACCCTCTCCTCAGTGCTCTGCATCTTCTGCTAGGGTGAACTCAAGGCTCTGGTAGCTGGTACAGCCAGGGGCCAAAGTTAATTCTTTGGGTCCAGGAAATGAAACCCAGGTCATCAGACTTGGCAGCAAATGCCTTTACCCCCTGAGCCATCTCCCACCACGCCTCAGGGATGCTGGTTCACTGGGTTATATGTTGGGAGATTTTTGGAAGAGATATTCCCAAGCTAAAACAGCAGAGATGCCCAGGGTCTCACTGTGCTATCCAGGTGCCTGGGAGGAGCCATGTGATTATGTGACAGATGGGGAAACTGAGTCTCTGAGATTAGGAATGCTCATGGCCTCTCAGTAGTGGGGATCCGGTTCAGATGTTTTGGAACTCTCCCACCCTTTTCCTTTTCTTTCTCTTTATTCTCAAGCCCCAGCCCTACCCTAAACACTGTATAGACACGTCACGTCTCATGTTCAGGCATGTGCTGCACAGAGCATGCTAGGGATGAAAAGATTTGACCCCCCCTCCTCCTTCCCCTTTATAAGTAGGGAAACTGAGGCCCAGAGAGGCAGAAGCAAGCCTGCGTCCACACTTGACATGAGGACCCACCCCCGGGGTCTCAGGTCTCGTGGCTACTCCTTGGTGGTGGGTAAGTGTTGTGCCCACAGTTGCTAAGAACCATTAATTATCCCGCCTGGGGCTCCTTCAGCCTTCCCTAAACGCCTTCACAAAGTTATTAGGGTCATGGCTTGCCTCTTATGTCTGCCCTATAAAGGAGGGTGGTAGGCGTTAATTATCCCTGCTTTATAGATGAGGAAATAGAGGCTCAGGTGAGGCCACAGGCCATTGGGGCTCCCACAGGAGGGAGTAGAACTGGGAGTAGCACCAGGCACCTGCTGCTTCTCCCTGGTGGTAGGCTCTTTCTACCCAGACATGCTCTGCCTGAGGTACGCCCTTTCCACCAGGTCCCAGTGCCTTCTGTGTAGTCACGACCTTTCTCAAAGGAAGGTGGGCAGGTGGCCAGGCATATACCTTCCTGGGCCCCAAGCGGAGGGCAGTGTGGTCTTTGGGAAGTCAAGGCTTGTCATCCTGCTGTGTGTGAGTAACTCCCATCTTTGTCCCAGGTTCTCACGGTCACCTTCAAGCAATGAGGTTGGGTACGAGAAATGTGCTGTGTTGAGCGGTGAGCGCCCCAGTGAGAGGAGAGAAAAGGTAAGTGTGCCCTTCACAATCTCCACTAGGAGAAGCTTGTGACCTGCCAGGTCCAGGCACAGAGCATCAGAATCTTGCCACCCCTGCCGCTGGCATACTAGAGTCCCTGACACCATGGGTTGTGATTTCCTCCTTCCCTGGGAGTCGAAGGCTGTGCACGGAAGTGGCTGCCAGGCAATTTTTTTTTTCTGTGCAAAAAGTTAGAACACTGTTTTTAAGCGGCCTTATTCAAACCCCTGGGAGGAAGAGGAAGGTGGATCTCTGTGTGTTTGAAACCAGCCAGGGTGACATAGTGGGATCTTGTCTCAAAAACACAAAAGCTTGGGAGAAACTTCCCCCAGTTTCCCTTTTGAGAGTCTTTCCCTTGGCTCTGCACCCAGTAACAGAAGCGGTTCAGGTGCCAAAAGCCTTTGCTCTTTGCTCTGGCTCATAGGAAAAGCTCCCAGTCAGGTGCTCATGTAACTGGTTGGTGGTCGATGCTCTCTCTGGCCTCACTTTTTCATTTTCTTTCTTTCTCTGCTGAGGTGCAATTGACAGTCATAAAGTGCATGGACTTAATGTGCCCGAGTGCACGAGCTTCCTCCGGCGTCTTCCCATGCAGCGTTGCCTCACAAGGGTGGTGAACATCTGTACTGCACCCAGACACCACCCCTGCCTCTCTGATGCCTCCGGCCTTCCTTTCCCCAAGCAGCCTCCCTCAGCTTCCTCTCCATACAGACTAGTTTCCACCTCTTAGATTTACAGACCAGTTGAGCCAGCCACAGTCATGGGCTCGTTTACTCTGCCCTTATCTCTTCACTTAGAACCCTGCCATGCTGAGATTGGTCAGGTTCTAGCCCTTCTTATGGCTGGGTTGTATTCCATCCGAGAGGTGGACCTCAGTGGGCTTTGCTGTCACTCTTTGGCTGGCACTGGGACGGTTTTCAGTTTGAGCCATTAGAAATGAAGTTGTGCCTGAGTGTGGTGTTTCGTGCCTGTGACCCCAGTGCTTTGGAGGCTGTGGCAGGAGGGTTATGAGTTCTAGGCCAGCTTGGATACAAACGCGTGCATGCACATACACCCCAAAAAAGGGAATAAAGTTGTTGTGAGCATTAATGAGCAAGTCTGTAAAGTCTCTCCCTCTCCTTCCCCGCCCCCCTCTGACATGTAATCTCATGTAGCTCAGGCTGGCCTCAAACTGACTGTAGCTGGGACCTTGAATTTCTGCTCCGTTGCCCCCTAGCTCTCAAGGGCTAGGATTACAGGCATGAGTTACCACACCCGGTTTTGTGGGCTGCTTGACATGGAGCCCAGGGCTTTGTGGATCTTGGCTAGGATTCTACTGACTGATCTACATCCATAGCCCAATTTGTTTTTATTTTTCCTCTCAGGTAAATACCTAGGAGTGGCCTGGCTGGGCCATGCAGCTGCTGTGCAGCTGTGTCAAAGAGACTTCTGCTATCTCTGAACAATAGACCAAGAGCTTCTCCAAAGCTCTCCGTGCTCCTCTCAGTGAGTCCCCAAGCAAAGGAGCTGGCCTGGAAGGGCAGTGAAGGCCACCCTGATGGTACCATAGAGACCGCAGCCATGTAGGAAGGGTCTTGGAAGGCTGGGACTTGGTATGGGCTCCCTTATATGTCAGGGCTTGGTTTCATCTGTAAACTTTGACTATTCAAGAACTCTCAAGAAGGAAAACATTAATGAGTCCCCACTTTACATATAACCAGGGATCATCTCTGTAATAGATGTGCTGATTTTTGAAAATTGTGGTAAAATAACAAAATGGGAAACCTTGATGGTGTGGCCTGGGATACTTAGCGAAACCTTGTCCCCACAAATCAGTCACAGTAAGCTGGCAGCATTGTCTCAGAGTCACCCCCCTATTGTCCCTGTGGTGTCTGGGACACCTGTCTTCATCTACACTCTTCATCCTGTAGTATTTCAGGGTGGGGGCTGGGAGATGACTTCATGAGTATAGTGTTTGCTGTGTGAGCCTGAGGACCTGAGTTTGAATCTCACATCGATGAAACAGTCAAAGAGTGCTGCCATTCTAGAGCTGAGGTTGTGGAGGTACAGAGATCCCTGGGACCTGTTGGCCAGCCAGCCTAGCTGAATTGGTGAGCTCTAGGTTCTGTGGAGAACCTGTTAGATGAGGAAGACGCTGCTATTCCTTTGGTCTCCATGCATGTGCACACTCATACACATGAATGTGCCTTCATAACACATATTTTATAGCGTCTTGCTGGAGCTTCTTTTTTAATTAAACAAAGTTTAACTGTTTTATTACTGTTTGGAGGGGATATGTGTACCCTGGTATGTGGCCAGATGCTGGTTTGCAGCGCCTGCCCTCCCAGCTTCCGTTCTAGGGGCAGGATTCAGGTCCCTTGGCCAGGCGGCAGGTGCTTTCTGGGTCGAGCCCATCTGAAAGGCCCCTTGCTGCTCTCTCAGGGCGGCCACGTCACCGCCTCGCCAGTTCCTGTCCCTTTCAAATCCTAATGTGGCCTTCGGTTATTTTTCAGCCTAAGGAAGGGCATGGTTTGGATGGAGCACCCGCTGCAAAAAGTCCCTGGAAGTCTGGGGTACCCCAGAAGTCTAGGCAGACCGAACCCAAAGATGCTTCTGACCAGGAAGACCCTGACAGGTGTCAGCGTGCACACTCAATGGCAGACCCAGGCCCTTCTGAAGTCAGTCCAGATGATGATGGCAGCTTCCAGAAGGTGTGGGCCACAGTATTTGAGCATCATGTGGAGAAACACACAGTGGTTGACCAGGCAGGCTGTTGTCTCTCACCTACACCCCCTCCTGATGTCACTGACATCCCAGATCCCAAACCCAGGCCCGAGAAAGGCTATTGGCTAGGGAAGGACCCTCCAGCAGTATTGAACAAGAGAGACAGCTCCAGGTGGTCCAACCATGCCGACCCGGGGGTGCTGGGACGAGCTGTCCCTGTAGATGTGGAGCCGAGACAGTGTCGCACATCTGTCCCCGAGACACACCCCATGGGAGAAGGACACAGTGGTCACTCTGTCCGGAGGTGTCTAGAAAGTCCCCCTGTGTCCCAGAGGATCCAGCCCAGGTATGACATTGTGTATGCCTCAGGGGAGCGAGCACATAGTGAAGCAGTTTCCAGGGTGCCTGAGGAGAAGGCGGTGACGCTGCGCGTTCCCAGATCCCGGCTCTCACTGCAGGGCCGGCAGCTGTCCCAGGAGATCAGCCCTACTCACCTGGAGTATGCTCTGCAGGCTCACGGGGGCGCTGTCCAAAGGGCAAGTTCAGTATGGGAAGCTCGGGGTCAGGAGGCCAGTGGACAAAAGCTTGACTGTCAACAGCCAAGGGATGGATTTGGGGGTGGTTGCTCACCCTCCAAATGGACGGGAGCAGGAGTGGTGGCAAACTGTCACAGCACCTCTGTGGTCAGCAAAGATCTCAGTGCCCCCCAAAGGGGTCCATCCTGGGATGGCTCTTCAAATCCTCCATCCAGGGCCACCATTGAGCCCGGTGACTCCTTAGTACGAGCAAGGCCGGACTCATTGTCTCTGCCAAAAAGTCCACATGAAGTTGCCTATGAGGGTAACCCAAGACCAGCCCAGGCATTGCAGCCCGAAGTCAGAATGCGGAGATCCAACCCTTCGGAGCCAAGGATGGACAGGTGGAGACGGCGGACTCTGCCCCATGATGTGAAGTTTGATGCATTCAGCCTCCTCAAGCCAGAGAACACTTCCGAAAGGCAACAGAGACCTGCAGATGATGTGATCTCCCTACCCTGTGCCTTAAAGAGACCTCCGCTGTCCTACCACCAGGCACAAACACAGGAGGTGGCTTACCCAGTGGAGAAGCCAGGGCAGACTGCTGAACCCAGTGCAACTTTCTTTGCCGTCACTTATCAGATCCCTGATATTCAAAAGGCTAAGAGTGTTGTTAAGCCAGGGCCTGAAAATGTGTTGGAACCTTCTAGGAGAACATCTCCTCCTCTGTCACCTCACTCTTCTGTGTCTACTGTGGCTTCTCCTAGCCATGAAGAGCCGAGGGCTCCCGCCAGCAGTAAGGGCTTGGCTAAGGGGAAAGAATATGAAGAAGCAAAGAGCCTTCCAAAATACCCGAAGGCCGCAGATCAGCCTTCATCTGCCAGGGACAGGACTCTGGAGCCTTCCAGGGACAGAGTCATTGATGTGGATGCTCTGGGGACTCACCGAGTCTCAGAAGATGGCTCCTCAAAGGACAGCAGGATTAGGGCATCAGGAGCGGATGCCCCACAGACCTCTCCAGTCCTGAGGCGCCCCAAAAGTCTCCTAAGTAGAAGGAGAACAGAGGTGATCAGCGAGACATTCCCAGGGAAGATGAGAGATGGCTACAGGTCTGGCATCCTTGACATCGATGCTCTGATGGCCGAGTACAAAGAGCACTCAAGCAGAGCCCCCAGCAAGGCCCAGGAGCAGAGGCACAGTCCTGGGGAGCCCAGTGGCTCTCCTCAGGAGAGATTAGATTGGCCCACGGAGGTGGAGTGGCGGCGGAGGAGCCTGAAGGAAGTTCCGAGATCAGATAGTGTTGGGAAACAAGCAGGGGCCTCTGTGAAAACTCCCCAGTCCCCTGGCCCTAGCAAGCAGCCAGCAGAGCCCTTAGGGGCAACCATGACCACCAAGTCTGGCCTGCCACTGTGGGCACCACCACACTCGGCTTCTGCAGAAAACTGTCCCTCACTCTCCCCTCTCCCTGTTGGCTCCAGGAAAAAATCCACAGGCATCACTGAGTTTGAAAGCAAGCCCTCCTCCAGTGAGTACCAGGAGGCAAAATATAAACAAGGCCCAGTCAAGTCCCAGGAACCAGGCATCGAGGACAGAATCTCCCCCAGGTCACCTCCCTCTGACTGGAAGAAAGGGACACCAAAGAGATCCACCGGTCAGGGGGTAGAGGGCAATGGGGTGCCGTGGGGAAACCCTCCATGTGACTATGTTTTGTCACCACTGGACATCAAGAGGGCCTGCTCAGAGAAGGGCCCACCAGCCAGGGTCCGGGAGGGCCTGTCCATTATGCAGGACGCCAGGCAGCGGAGACAAGAACAGCCCAGAGGGAAGCCAGCTCTCCCGACTGAGACTCCCAAGGCCCCATCAGTGTCCTGCCGAAAGGAGACGAGGAAGCCAGATGGCCCTAAGGTGAGTACAGAGGTACTTTTAATTCTGTCATTTCATTCATTCATTCATTCATTCGTTCATTCGTTTATTTATTTATTTGGTTTTTCTAGACAGCATTTCTCTGTGTAGCCCTAGCTGTCCTGGAACACACTCTGCAGACCAGGCTGGTCTCGAACTTCATAGAGATCCACCTGCCTCTGCCTCCCGAGTACTGGGATTAAAGGCGTGCGCCACCACCGACCGACCCATCGTTTTAATTTCTAACGTTGTTTAAGCATGCATATCTGGGGTCTTAAGCTCAGATGTCATGGGCTGTGTGTAGGTGTGTGGCTGAGTGGAGGCAGGCCTAGGGCACTGCACCAGGCAGCGATGGAGACTGGGAGGGAGCACAGCACTCAGGCAAACCGCCAGGACAGGTGTGTGTTTGCTTCCAGACTTTTTCTCCTTTCCTTATCGTCCCTCCCCTTCCCTTCTTTTCCTGGGCAGGGCATGCAAAGATAGTACTTGGCCCCAGCCCCTGGCCATTTTGTCCTGTGACAGTGTTGAGAAAGTGGCATCATTTACTCAGAGAAATTTACATTTTCAGGTGGATTTTCCTGTGAAACAAGATGGCTTGTTAGAAAATGTAACTCCATCCCAGCCAAGCTAGTCCCCTGCTCTATCTGCTTGACTGTGGGTTGTGGGTGAAAACTCGGCCTGGCATGGGATGAGAGTGAGCATTTTGTGTGAGCATTGTGGAGTGCCTGCTCTATGCCAACTTCGCACTGTCTTCACCAGAGCCAGCAACAACCACGTGAGCTTCCAGAAAATCTGTGGCGTGTGAGTGAATGATTGTAAGAAGTCCACTGAGTCTTAAGAGATGGCTCACCCCAGCTTGGGGTTCCCCCAGAGTCAGAGCCTGTCTTAGATGTCTTAGGTGGTGACCTGAGGGACTGACTGGCTGGGGACTGGGAAAGTGGCAAGGAATTTGATACCAGCGTGAGCAACTGAGACTTGGTGCCCTGGGAACCTCTGGGAAGCCAGTCACTCAACTGAGTTGATCTGGTCAAGGATCAGAGGGCCATAACTGTGCATTTTCTACTTCCTCCCGTTGTCCTCCAAGCCTGTGTCTGGGGCTTTGAGTGTGAGACTTCATTCTGACTGAACAGCAAGGCAGTCTGCACACAGTAGGACATGCATACAGTGGGACAGCTTTCCACCAGCTCACGTTTTGAGTGTCCCAACTATTAGGGAGCTGCCAAGTCTGCTTTAGGCATGAACTAGGTAGAAAAACAAAACAAAAGCAGGGCTCAGAAAGACTAAGTAACCTATTCACCGGTCACACAGCAAAAGGCTAAAGATCCTTGAGCCAGAAGCCTATGAGATGATGGCCACTGTGGTAAAAGCAGGGAGGAAATCTGAAGCCCAGCACAGCCCTTGGGAGATTTTTGCCTCAGCTGGGTGATGGGGCCCTGGACCCCAAGGCCAGGATGTTACGTGATGCTCAGTGAACTGCTGGAGGAGTGAGCCATGAAGGCATGCTGGGAGAGGCCTTGAATTCAGTCACTGAGGAGACTGATGGGTGAGCAGGGGAAGGGTGTGTGCTGGCATGGCCACAGAAGGGACAGAGGCCTGGAGGCTGGAGTGGCCCCACATAGCCTTTGTTTAGTCACTCAGTCGGAGGCAGCAGCCTACCCTGCACAACGTTTTCTGCTGTAACAAAACACCACAGGCTGGACATTTTCTGGAGAAGAGAGACTTATTTCCCACACTTCTGGCCACTGTGAATGCTCAGCCCGTGACCAGCTCCCTCTTAGAGTTCCCTTCCACATTATCCTGGAGTTTCTGGTCACGGTGTCTTCACTGTAGAGCACAACCAAGAATTGCAGCCAAGTTTCTCATCCCCAAGCCTGTGGGAGAGGACCCACAGGGGTCTAGCCTGGCAGGGCCATTAGCCCCCTGTGCAAAGGGGGCTGTGAAGGGAGTCAGGAGAGGCCACCAGTTGAGGATTCCTGAGTTATGGTGAGGAGTATGGGGAATGCAGCTTTGAACCTGTGTCTTCCTGGGGAGCTTGCTGAGTGCTACACGGGAACCTCCATGCTTGCCATGGAACTTCCCAGAGCCTCCGGTGCCTCCTCTGCCCACACCACTCAGACCCTAAGCCCGGCTGTGGGGAGCTGCAGGCTGCAGAAGGCTGTGTTCTTCTGGAAGGGCTGCTACCCAGCTCACCCTCCCTCTGCAACTGTGGGAGCAGCCAGTGGGGAAGAGCGGGGGAATGTGACACTTCCTTAGCTCGCCAGCACCTCAGGTCTGGCCAGCAGCAGGAGAGCCAGGCCTGTGGAGGGGCCCTGGAAGCCTGCCCAGTGCCCAGGCCCCAGGAGGGCTGGCTGTCAGGGATCAGCTTTCTCAAGGCTGAGGGATGGAGAGACCAGCTTCCTGCTTTTCCCCCTTCTCTTCTGCGGGAAGGCCTTTGTTTTGTTGGCTTTGGGGTCAGGGTCTTGTAGCACAGGCTGTCCTGAAGTTGTGACCCTCCTGCCCCTTCCTTACCTGCGCTTGATGCCAGCCTCACTCTGGTTCTTGATCTTAAACAAAAACAAGCAAATGAGTGAAAACGAGAAGCCACAGAGGTGCTCAAAGACATTAAAACTTATAAACCTCACAGAGGGGCAGGGAGAGAAGAGAACGTTTCCTCCTGAGAGGTTGGTAAGGATGTTTGCAGCCTCGGGACTTCACTGTGTGTCTCAGGAGCTAGCAATATTCCATGGGCACGCACACACATACACCAAACCTACTGCTCCCCCCACATACATACATCATGCACACACATACCAAACTTACTGCTCCCCCCACATACATACATCACACATACACACACCAAACATACTACTCCCCCTACATATATACATCACACACATATCAAACCTACAACTCCCCCCACATACATACATCACACACACACCCCAAATATACTACTCCCCCTACATATATACATCATACACACACATACCAAACACACTACTCCCCCATATACATACATCACACACACCAAACATACTACTCCCCCACATACCTCTCTCTCTCTCTCTGTCTCTGTCTCTGTCTCTCTGTCTCTGTCTCTCTCTCTCTCTCTCTCTCTCTCTCTCTCACACACACACACACACACCCCACAGGCACTAAAGTGGTATATTACTGTTGGATGCTTAGGCAAAATTTTGGCCATCAAGGGAATGTGGAACATAGGAAGGGATTCTCCCTTCCCCCAGAACGCTTGCCTTCCAGGCCTTGTGGTGCAGACCTATAACCCTAGCTACCTAGGAGGCCAAAGCAGGAGAATCAGAAGTTCAGGTCCAGCTGGTCTACAGGAGTTCAAAGCCAGCCTTGGCAATTTATTGAGTCAAAATGAAGAGTAAAAAGAGGCCCGGCAGTGCGGTTCAGTGGCGCGGCACGCAGCACTTGCCTGGCGCGTGAGTGAGGCTTCAGGTTCTAACCATGTATGCAGCAGGCTGGCCTTTACTCATTCTTTGGCCAGCAAGCTTAAATTCACAATGCTCCTGCCTCAGGGCTCTCCATTCCCTTCCCCTATTCTCCCTTACCCTCCAGTAACTGAAGTTATTAGTCTACACTTCCAGCCCGGCTCTCTTTCTTTTTTACTTAAGAAACATTTATGAAAATTCTGTCCAGAGCCAGGTGACAGCATTTTATTTACTTTTAAGTTTAGCTTGGCCACAAGTGCGCTTTCGGGAGATAAATGCTGAACTCCACCTCACTTCTCCCCGCAGCATCATTTCCCTCCACTCTCAGGATGGCTTGGGTTCTTTTATGGCCCAGTTCTTTTGCAATTGCTTTCAGAGACCACAGGGATGAGGAAGCATAGTCTGGTTTTTTTCATCCCTTCCTGCAGGAGAGAGGGTTTTGACACTCGGTGACAGCTGGGTACAAAACAGAAAATTTATTATGGCATCCAGGCCTGGCCCCATCCCAGACCAGTTAGGCTGAAGCCTCTGGTGTGGGGTGTGACTTGGTAGGTGGCTTTGGAAGATAACTCTGCTGTCCTCACAGCTGCCACCTGCTTTTAAAGTCATACGGCGTGGGCAAGCTTGAGGACCCAAGTTCGATTCCCCTGGATGGAAGGCCAGAACCGACTGTACAGAGCTCTGTTCTGACTTTCCTGTGTTCCACCCCAACCTGAAAATAAACATAAAAAGGGGCTGGTGAGGTGACTCAGATGGGTAAAGGCCCCCTTTTACAAACCTGGCTACCTGGATTTGACCCTCGAGACCCTTGTAAAGGTAGAAGGAGAGAATGGACTCCTGACCTCCCCATGTGCCGTGACACACATGCTCCCACACTCTCATGTAATGCACAGGCAGTAATAATAAATGCACATTAAAATCATATAATGCCTCTTAGAGCCTGGCTCTGCGCACAGTATCCCTGTCCTCCTCTTTGTTTATAGAGCACGTGTGATACATGTGCTAGCCAGGTAGCTTTTGGATTTTTGGCACTAGGTGGTGACATGTCCTGGGTCAGGAGTTCAGGGTCATCTTCTGAGATCCACCCTGGGCTGTGTGTGACCCCGTCTCACGGAAAGGTCCTTGGGGAAATAAAACGTGGTGTAGCCCTATAGTGGAATATTATTCAGTTATGAACAAAAAGGAATGGTCTAGCCAGGTGTGGTGAGGCGTGCCTGTTATACCAGCATTCTGGTGGCTGAGGCAGGAAGGCAGCAGAAGAGGAATAGGACCACCCATATTTGAAGCTCCTTGCCTCTCAGGCGGCGTGGCAGGTACTGTTTGTGTGTTAGTTTAAATTAGATTCAAGTCTAGTTTCTCTGTCGCCCTAGCCATGTTCAAGCTCACATGACTGTGCTGGTGCTGCAGAACATTCTAGTGGCTGAACAGGTACGAGCAACCTGAAGCCAGTGAGCGAGTGAGGTTACCCGGAGCCTGGCAGGTCCCGGCAGGCGGAAGAGGGTGCCAGGAGGATGAGGAGCAGACTGGAAAGGGGCCACGTGAGGGACAGGAGAGACCCGGGCCAGCCAGGAGCAGGGGAGGAAGTGGGAGACACACAGCTCAGGTGACTTGTCCCGGGGACTCAGGGCGGCCTCGGTGGAGGGTGCCCCTCAGCAGGGCTCTTTCTGCCTCAAGATGCCATTGTGTCATTCAAGGGCACGGCGCAGCAGCCTGCAGCACATTGAGACACAGTCCATGCAGGGGGCCACCTGTGTCACCCCCAGGAAGTTCTGCTCTTTATAAGCCACCCTCATCTGCCCGTCCCGTGGGCAAGCTGAGAACTTGGTGGCTGAGGCTGTCTGCTCCTAATGACTCTCCATAGGCGGGCGTGCTTCTGTGCTCATTGGCTGTCGGCATAATTCTTTGGAGTAATTACTGTTTGGATCCTGCTCCGTTGTTTCCTTGTTGTTGAGTTGCATTGCTCTTTATATGTGTGTGAGTGCGAAACGAGTAATTTGCAGAATCTCTTCCTTACTGTGAGTGAGCCTTCACTCTCTTCATGGTGTCCTTTAAGCACACATTTTTTCAGTTTGACTGAGTCTTTTTCTCTTTTTTTCCTTTAAAGATTTTTAAAATTTATTATGTATAGTGTTCTGTCTGCATGTATCTCTGCAGGCCAGAAGAGGGCACTAGATCTCATTACATGTAAGCCACCATGTGGTTGCTGGGAATTGAACTCAGGACCTCTGGAAGAGCAGCCAGTGCTCTTAACCTCTGAGCCATCTCTCCTCTTTTTCTCTTTTGTTCCTTGTGTTTTTTGTGTCATACCTTGGAAACCACTGGCTAATACGAGGCTGTGGAGATTGGTGTCCTTGCTTCCTTCTGACTCCTCCGATTCCAGCTTCTCTTTAAGATCTTTGTTTGCTTTTGAGTTAGTTTTGGACCAGGGTGTGAAGTTTGGTTTGCTTGCTTTTGTTTTGTGTTTGGTTTTGGTGTGCAGGAATTTACTTAATTTATGGTTAACATTTACCATGGTAAAACAATCTGATGTGTAATGTACCCGCAACTTCCTTCAATAAGTTCCGTTCATGTCCACTGCTGCCACAGGAGCCCTTCAACTTCAGAACAAAGGGTTTGAAGATTAAAAAAAGTATCAGCCCGGGAATTCTTTGCCATTCCCCATCTCAGTTTAATACATTTTATACTTTTTATTGGGTGTTGAGGTTTGGAGCGCCATAGTCTAGATTGGCCTTCCAGACTGGGTCCCAACACCGACAGGGAGGACTGAGATGTGGGTGGGATTTATCTAATGCCGGGGAGCATGGAAATGAACCCAGCAGACAGGACGCAGAAGCAGAAGAGAAAGCTCAGTGTAGGGTTAGGGTGTTGAAGGGATTCAAGAAAGTAGTCAGGAAGAGAAGGCAAACCTGGAGTGTCTGGGATAAAGAGTCAAGAACAGGAAGGGGCTAACCTTGCCCTTCCTGATGCTGTGTGTTGTTAACCAGGCACCCGCCCTCTCTGGGCTCCTGGTTTATGTGTGTAGTGTGTGACATGTAAAACTTCCTGGACTCCTGAGTTTGCAAGGCTGTGATGGGTTCCTCAGAGAGGAAAACACTGTGGGATTCAGACTGCATGCCCTCGGGCTTTTCCCTCTTCCTGTTGTTTCTCAGGGTGTGTATTTAGGGGCAAAGAAAGATGTTCAAACTGTACCTCACCGTGGGCAGTGACTGGGCTGGCAAGCTGGAGGCCCAGAGGACTAGACATATGAACCAGGCACACTGCCCCCTGGTGGCTGGACCATGTCTCGCAGGTTCTGAGCCAGCCCCTCTTTCTGTTTACTCTTGAAGCTGTTAGCATTGTTTCTGCCCCTATGATTGAGATTGGAGAGGTTAAAGAATTGCTTGAGGTCACACATAAATGAAGCTGGGTCACTTGGACCCAAGAGCTGATACCCAGATACTAACCTGTGACCACAGCGGTGGGGGGGGGTCCTGGTGTTTTTTTGTATTTATCCCCAGAAAGAGCTATGACACACCTGTCCTGCATGTGAGAGGCTCCCACTAAAATCCTTTTCTTGTGTTCCCTGTCTCAGGTGCCTCTGCAGAACCCGGAGCAGGGGGAAGGTCTACAGGATGGCCAGCAGCCTCTCCGGCAGGTGTCCCCTGTTGCCTCTGTCCCTAGGCGAAGTCACAGCTTTTGCAAGGACAAGAGGAGTAGTCCCTTTGTGGTGAGTGGCAGTCGCATGGCTGGAGATGGACTTACGGGCGTCGTCTGTGTTGGAAGATTTCTGTAGATGTGTGTGGAGGATTCATGTTGACGGAAGCCTGGAGAATGGGATTGGGTTCCCAGACCCTCTGTGCTGGGGAAACCCTTGCTGCTTTTGGGTTTTTGGCACTAGGTGGCACTGTAACTCAGCAGCTGGCCAGTGGAAGTTGATGGAAGTCTTGGGTTTGAGTTGCAGCACTGAGTCTTTTCAACAGCCTAGAGAGTTTAGTGCCTGCGCCCTTTGATTTTTCTCTGTGGGGAAAGCTGGGCTAGTGATCCCTGTTGTCGGTGCCAGTTTGAGGATGCAATTGAATCCTGAGGGAGCCAGTCCAGAAAAAAGTATGCCCCAGAGGGGACATTAAGAAGCTCCAGCCACTCCAGACCTGGGGACCACAGTCACCATACACATGTGTCCTCTGTTCCTGTCCATCCAGTGGGGAGGTGAGAGCCCCTGCTTCACGTGGCTGGTGTTTGCTCTGAGGAGGTGATACAGGAGGGGCTTTGCCTGACTCCGAGCATCCAGTGGGCGCGTGCCGCCACGCTGCCTGGCTGCAGGTTGTTGGCTGTGTCTCTGTGGCTGCCCCTTCCTCTCTAGGCCCTTATGCTGGCTTAGGAAGGACTTGAGAAAAGGGCCATGCTTCTTGGGAAGCCTTTGACCCTGGGAGCCACTCAGGTGGCTCTGGTGATTCTGTTGATGCTGTCTGTAAATGGACTGAGTTCTCTCCTTGCTTGGAAGGTCCCTGGTGGGCGCGGCCCAGGGTGGCATGAGTTCCACCTCACATACCTTCCACCGCTGTGGTCTAGGGAGAGACTTCCCTCCTCAGAGTCTTGGTGTCCTCAGCTATAAAATGGGGGTGTTTGCTGTTATGGTAGGGGTGGAGTGACAGGGTCAGGCGGTGCCGGTCCTGGGCCTGGCGGGATATCCGCTGAGTGGCTCTGACAGCCGTACAGGTGTGTGACACTTGACCCTCTCTAAAGGTTCCCTTTCCTTGGGGACACCCTTGTCTCCAGTCCCTCTCAGGTGGCACTGCCTCCATTATCTGATCCATTGTGAACTTCTGTGTGTGCTGGTGAGGGCAAAGGTTACGGGAGAGAAGGTGAAGCCTTTATAGTTCTGGCCTGCAGGAGTCCTCCTGGCTGCACACTCCTCCTCTTTCCTCTGTGTCATTGAGGAACCTTTGTCCCAGGAGTCCTGGGTGGCCTGCCTTGGCTCCTCTGTCTGGCTCTGAAGCCCCTGTGCCCAGCTTGAGGCCTGTGGAACTTCCTCTCCTGCAGATGGAAGGGCGGGAACCCAACCTGCAAGACCGGGCTCTCTGGTCTCATGCCTGCAGCATTAGGAAGCAACCACAAGGGGGCAACAGTGCCCAGCCCCTCTTGGCTCCTCCCACAGCCTGTGATGGGCATGCAGACCTGCAGCATCTGAAGGGAAAGACCAGCTCAGCCGCTGTGGTCTCTGGGGACTCAGTTTGGAGCTCTGACCTGTGACCTCTGGGGACCCAGTTTTTCCTTCTGTGGGGCAGAGCTGGTCCGGTCTCAGGGCAAATGATGACTTCTCATTAATGCTTGGGCTTGGAGGCCCTGTTCCTCCTCCCTCCCTGCCTCCTCCTCCTCCCTTTCTTTGTGTCTGTTCAGCCCTGCAGAAGGGGGGAAACTGAGGCCCATAGAGAGCATTCAGCTTGCTTAGGATGGCCTTCCAGGTGACAGCTGTGAGTTCACCTGAGGTGGCTGTTTGTTTGTCCTAGTTTGTCCGTAACTTCACCGTGTTGCTTGCTTATCTGGGTTCGCATATCTCCATCGTTTCAGGGTTTTTGCTTTTATTTCACGTAGCCCAGGCTGGCCTCAAACTCTCTGTGTAGTCAAGGATGACCTTGCACGCTGCTTCTCCTGTCTCTGCCTCCTGATTCTGGGCTACAGGTGTGTGCCACCATGCACTGTGTATTCTGGGCTACAGGTGTGTGCCACCATGCACTGTGTATTCTGGGCTACAGGTGTGTGCCACCATGCACTGTGTATTCTGGGCTACAGGTGTGTGCCACCATGCACTGTGTATTCTGGGCTACAGGTGTGTGCCACCATGCACTGTGTATTCTGGGCTACAGGTGTGTGCCACCATGCACTGTGTATTCTGGGCTACAGGTGTGTACCACCATGCACTGTGTATGGGTGCAGGACTTGGTAGCATGCCGCGGCAAGCTGTCTACCAGCTGCCTACACCCTAGCCCCTGTCTCAGGCTTGGCTCACCCTTACTTGAGCGCCACCCACCTCCCCTGCCGTTCGGGCTAACAGACTCCATCCTGCTGAAAAGAAAAGGAAGGCTCAGAGGAGCTCAGCCACCTGCCTCAGGCCACACAGCATTAAGGAGAGCTACAACAAGGGCCCACATATGTTGTGTGGGACTTGAACCGCTCCTCGCCCAGGATTGTGCTGGGCAGACTGTCAGGCCTGGCCCTGCTCCCTCCCCAGCCCCTGCCAGTTCCCTGTCATCATAGTTCCTCAGAGTCCTGGGACTCAGCCAAGATTGGCTGTGGGCCGTTCTGTCTGTCTCACTTTCGTCAGTCTGGGACCCCCAGGGCCCCTTGAGTCAGTGAATGTGCGTGGCCACGCCCACTGCTGCCCGTCATGGGACTTCCCACTGGCTGCCCTGTAGGGTGGCAGGAGGCGGGCCACCTGCTCTGCCCATACCTGGTGCTGGCACAGCCAGCTGCAGAGCAGCTGCTTGCTACTGACACTGCTGTTGCCCACTCCTGCGAGCTGCCCGGTTGCGGAAGGAAAATGTCCCCAGTCTTAGGAATTCAGCCGCGGCCTGGGTGGGGAATGTCTTCTCCTGGTCCTGTGATGAGCCCTCCCACAGGTGTGGCTCCCTTCTGCCCATGGCTTATGGTCTCCTGGGGTTACAGAGCATGATGACTCAGTGTGGACCCTGACCTAGGGCACAGTTTACCTAGCAGCCCCTCCTGTGAGTGTGAGGCCATAGGTCAGCAGTTATGGGGTTCCCACAGCGGCATGGACCTCTGGAAGGTCCAAGAATGGCCTCCTCATGAGCAGACGCAAGCTGGTACTTCCTGGTCTGTTTAGCCAAGTTTTCATTTCCTCATGTATCCACTGTGTCGTTTGAAAGCCTAGAAATTGCCCCCTTGGGGTCTGTAGTGCAGGGGACTTAGGCCATGTCTGGGGATTTAATCAACTTTTAAGGTCCAGTCTGCTGGGGAAGCAGGGCTCAAAGAGGTGAGGCCAGGCTGGAGTGCAGGGTCAGGCAGGCAGGAGCCTACAGTAACCTGCTATGCCTGGGTGGGTGGGCCAGGGCCATGCACAGGGCACAGGGACATGAGGGGTGGACACCAGTGGTAGCAGGGCTGAGCACGCCCTGGTTTGTGAGGTCAGCATGCACCAGCTGCCTCCTGTCTGTTTTACTCCTGGGTGTGGAGAGCTAGGGACAGGGACTTTGACTGAAGCTGATCACAGCTCATTTCTGGACTGAACAAGCCACGCCAAGATTTGTCTGCTAGAGGTGAACCCATGCTGCCAGCTGTGTCAGAGGTTTTGTAGAGTGGTATTTTGTGTTCGTCCTTGTTGCTAATGATCACCCATTCAGATATGCATGCATCCACCCACCCACCCATCCATCCATCCATCCATCCATCCATCCATCCATCTGTCCATCACTCATCCGTTCAGCCATCCGCCCATCCATCCCATCAGTCCCTCGCTGCCCACCCACATATCCTGCCTGACTTATTAACTTATGTGAAACTCCAAATTGCTTTCATTTCTATACTAGGAACAAGTAGTCGCACACTCAGTATGATGGCCGTGTCATTTATTGTTTCCACCCACTCATCCACCCATCGGAACCTGTTTGGGAGCCTTCATCCTCTAGACTGTTGAGGGACAGTAGTGGACCAGGCAGATGGGGCGCTTCTAAGGCTTGTGCCCAGTGTGGGAACCAGATACTGAACCACTAGCTAGCCTCAGAAAAGAGACTTCTGGATGTTAGCAAGCACTGTGGACAAAATAAAATGGTGTAGGGAGCCGGTGGGGGTGAGGTGGGAGTGGAGAGGGGGGAGAGGGATGGGGGAGGGGGAATGGGGGAGAGGGATGGCGGAGGGAAACAGGAGAGGGGATGAGGAGGGGATGGAGGAGAGTGGGGGGAAGGGGGAAAGGGAATGGGGGAGGGGTGTGGGAGCTGTTTCTTGTCAGGTGGTCAGCAAGGGCTGCTTTGAGAGAGTGACCAAGGGTGGAGCCTGTGGAAGAATCAGAGGAGGGTGTCAGGCAGGGGACAAAGGTCCTGGGACTTCTTTAGTCTGATGATTATGACGTCGATGACAGCGATGAACAAGATATCATCATTGGAGTCAAAGTGTGGAGAGGGTGACCCTTGATTGCAGGATAAGGGTTGTATTAGTCAGGGTTCTCTAGAGGAACAGAACTCAGATGTATGTATGTATGTATGTATGTATGTATGCATGCATGCATGCATGCATGTAAATGGGATTCATAGAATGACCCCCAGGCTATGGTTCAGCTTGTCCAACAATGGCCGTCTCCTAACGGAAGGTCCAAGAATCCAGTAGCTGTTCAGTCCATGAGGCTGGATGTCTCTGCAGGTCTTTTATATGCTGGAATCCCAGAGAAGCAGACTCTAATGCCAGAGAAGGAATGGACTTGCCAGCAAAAGGGAGAGCAAGTTTCCTCTTCCATGTCCTGGTATAGACAGGCTGCAGCAGAAGGCGTGGCCCAGGTTAAAAATGGGTCTTCTCACCCCAAAAGATTACATTTAAAGTGGGTCTTCCCACTTCAAATGATTTAATTAAGAAAAATCCCTTACAGATGTACTCAGCTGCTTGGGTTTTAGTTAGTTCCAAATGTAGTTAAGTTGGCAGCCAAGACTAGCCATCCCTAGGTAGCTAAACAAAGTATTTGTGTGTGTGTGTGTGTGTGTGTGTGTGTGTGTGTGTGTAAGC